GGGTCTGGATGAGGAGCACCTGTGGAAAAAGGGAAAGAGAGCGGTAGCTTCTACACCATGCCATCTGCTCCCTGCCTCACATGGGTGTGTCATCTTTGCTTCTCTGTCTGGAAACTGTACTTCCCCTCCACCCCAGAGAGGGCAATGCATTTGTTGACCATGCTTGCAGCCTCTTCAGGGGTGGGTGCCATTGTGACATCTGCCTATGTGATGTGAATTACTTTGGGGCATCTTGTCCATCTTGTCCATCGCTTGCCCAGTTTGGTCTTACTACAGAACCTGAGTTCAGTTGGTTTTCCCACTCTTCGTAGACCTAGGAGTCCGCGCAAGCCCTGCAGGGTGGGGGATGTAAACTGGCTCAAGACAGCAATTAGTGCAATGCAGGTGGTTCTGTGCTCGGCTGGAACAAAGGCGTATAGAGACCAGGGCCCTTTTTAGGGCTGGAGTAGATGAACTCTCATCTCTAGGAGGTCTTTCCAATCCTCCTCCGTTCAATTCCTTTCATTTTCTTCATCTGGCGAGAATGGAATCAAGTCAACCTCTGCATACTTTGTTCGGTTATCCACAGTTGCCTTTGATTTCATCATCTCAGCTCAACCACAATGTAATAATACATGAGGCTCCTTCTTGATAGACAAGGGCTGTCGGGGAAAACCGTCAGATGCTTTGCCATGGATATTTGTAGCATGTTGTGCTGTGGGCAGCTAGTGTCCGAGGATGGGGGGGTGACTCCATCGTTTCTTATTGATGGGTGGCAAAGATGAAGATTCAGACAAAAATCGATGGCAGAGCGGTCTCTGGGGGCCACCCCACAGCGGCTGTCCAGTCGAACCATTTCTTTAGTTGGGAATAGACCCTGTTTCTAATAAGTGTCCTAGATTACCAGTTGTGCCGTTACCCTTTTTGCTTCGTAGCCGCTGCTGGCGACACGCCGACCAGTGGGCCGGGGACCCGACTTCAGATGTTAGATGATGTGGTGGGACCGGAGATCGATTGCACACGTGAGGCCAGGGGAGGAGGGCAGATTTACAGCAGACATGTGCGTCAGTTTTAATCGCGTCCCCTTGCATTACAGACGCGCCAGTTCGATATCTTATAAATATCTTCTGCTGACGTTTCATTAAAGCATCTGTATAACTCTTCGTAGTAAGCCAGAAAGGGAATCCGACCGAAGGGGAATAATGAGGCAGAAATGCCTTTGTTGCAGGAGTGGGACAATGAAGACGTGCAGGCGGAGCTGTATGGACTCCGATTATGCGGCTGGATTCATTATGGACTAAGGGGGGGGGACATGTGGGAAGTAGGGGTCAGCTGTGTATTTCACTCTGGAGGAAAAATGCATTGTTTTCCCTTTTTTTGTCATTGCCATAGATCCGTCAAGATGGCGCTCCAAGAAGAACAAGCGCATTTGGTGGTGGTCCGGAGTGATATTTGGATATGATGCATTACACTGCTGCAGGGATTCGGCAAATGCAAACGCTGTGTCCTTTTTTTGGCGTCATAATCGTATTTGCAGCCTGTTCTGTTTACAGCCCCTGACCTTTTTTTTTAAAAAAAAAAAAAACAAAAAAAAAACATGCATGCGAGAAGGACAATACCCAGTACCCAGAGTGCACTGCCCTTTTATGCATCTCCAGCACTGTCGCTGGGTCTTACGTAATCATGCACTGTCTGCCATCACCCTAGCCTGTCTTGTTCGTCTGTCTGTTGTTCGGGGGGACTACGTTGGAATTGGGGTCCGACTGGGGCCGGATGCCATCATTTGGTAATGGGGATGGGACAGAGTGTTTCTGCCTCCCGTGTGGCTGGCTGCTGAGCCCCAAAGCGGCAACCAGAGAAAAACACAGCGCCTCTCCGTTTCTGGCACCTGCTGCATGTTTTATTTATAAGCCCTAGGTTTGCGTCACTCCCGTGAAACGGACTATAGCGGGACAGTTAATCTCTGTCTGGACCGTTGAGGTAAACCGGGCTGAGCCATTACGTGTTTGTGTGTGTTAATTTTATGCAGAGTACTCTTTGTCACAGGTCAACAGGTCACAGGCGGAATGATATGGGTTTGTATACATATTACAAGATGTTCATTACTGGTGTGTATATCACACATATTCAACAGGAAATGTGTGTCTGCTTAGTCTGTTTATCAATCTATAGATAATAAGCTTTTCAGGAGGAAGGCAGTGGTTGCTGTAAGCTCACCTCTAAACATGTAAGGCACTTTCTTCCTGTTTTTCGAAGGTGTGGCTTCCGCTGGCGTGTTCTCAGAGCTATCGTCACCACGGTGCGCTGCTCGGCCCGGAGACCATCGCTGGGGACCGCTGTATTTGGTCTGCTTTGCCTTGCTGGGAGGTGCCAGCATACTGCAGCACAGTAGCGCGCTAATGAGCTCCAATGCTATTAGCCAAATGAATATTACATTAGCTTCGCCACCATAAAATAATGTAAAATCAATTCACTCTCTTATTTGTAATCCATCCACCTGAAAACCACTAAGAACGCTGCGCAAATAGCTCATTTTCACATCCTTGACTCTCTGAGCCCGAGTCCAGATAATAACCTTAACTTGGTGCAGCGCATGATGCGTGAACTGCGTGGTAACACGACCAAGGCGCAGTTTGGGCTGCGGCACTGCTTTGTCCTCCAGGGCGCTCCGGAACTTGTCGAAATACTTTTGCCATGGCTGGGCTCCTCTTGCCCGCAACAAAAAAACAGGAGCATACTGAAGATGCCTTAATGCCACCTGCTTCACAGGTGACGTGCCCCTGCTGACCCTGCTGGCAGATGGCCAACCAGTGCAAACACGCTGCCACAAACAGGGGCAACGTCAAGCGTCTGTCGCTGGTGGGCGGGGTGAACCTACATAATTAGCGTGTGTATCTGTGTGAGTCTGACGGTGATCAGGTTACGCCAGACTGTTCAGGTTTTACGACATGAGCCGCAAAGAGTCAGATCTGCATAGCCCTAGTCGAACGTTGCATTGTTTTGTACAGCCTGTTTTATTTATTCATTCATTATTGTCTCGTTTTTGTTATCTAATGTGTAAAGCCATTTAAAGTGTCAGACATTCACTTCATTGTATGTGTCCATATTTTGAAAAGTTCTCATTTAGCTACATCGCGTATGGAATGATACCCGGCGTGTCATAAGAACATGAGAAATTTACAAACAAGCTAGTTTGGGGAGAACTTAACTAATAGCTCAGAGTTGTTAAAATCTTATCTAGCTCTGATTTAAAGGAACCCAGGGTTTTAGACTGCACTACCTGAACAGGAAGACTATTCCATACTTTAACTACACGCTTTGTAAAGAAGTGTTTTCTCAAATTCAGATTCAAATGTTCTCTCGCTAATTTCCACCTATGGCCACGAGTTCTAGTATTTAAACTAATATTAAAGTAGCCATTTGGCTGAACAGCATCCAGACCTGTTAGAATCTTATATACCTGGATCATGTCCCCCCTTAGTCTCCTTTGCTCGAGGCTGAACAGATTCAGATCAGCTAACCTCTCCTCATAAGACATTCCTCTAAGACCAGGAATCATTCTTGTAGCCCTATGTTGAACCTTTTCCAAGGCAGCAATGTCCTTCTTAAAGTATGGTGACCAAACCTGCACACAATATTATAGGATTATATAACACAATATTATAGGATTATATAATTCCTTACCAAGGAATTATATAATCGTAGCATCACCTCCCTTGACTTAAACTCCACACACCTAGAGATGTAATCCAACATCCTATTGGCCTTTTTTATTTGCTTCCCCACATTAGCGAGAGTGGGACATGGAATCATCAACATACACATCAAAAATATGGTCGATAAATCTCACATCTGTCCAGTTTAATTTCCCTATGTGGGCCGTGTGTGATGGAAAGAGCATGTGGGAGATCCCGGCTCAGCCAGTGACGGCCTGAGTGATGGGCACTGCCCCCGTGCCAGCGGCCAAAGGGGGAGCTGTCCGCCCTCTCCTCACCATGGGAATGTGATAAAACCTGAATGTGTCTCTGAGGTCATGAATTTGGCAAACCTGATTCTTATCTTCTGGTTTGTGAGAGTTAACACCCGAGTCCTGCAATTAATGAACCCAACTCGCTACATTATTGCTGACTTATCTTTATATTAGTAATACATTTGTAATACATGCCTGGCATTTTTATAAATATATATATAAGCTTACCACTTTTATATCATCAGTCCCCAGGTGGTGATAACGTTCTTTTTTGGATCTACGTAATGTCCCATAATTTTCGTGAAATCCCATAATTCATTTTGCACCGTGTGGCCTTTCGCATCATGTTAAATGTCTGATTAAAGATATATATAAAACTGAATACCCAAAAGTACATGCACTTTTTTGATAGAGGAAACTTTGACATACTTGAAATGCAGCTGAAAGATAATTCTACATATTATACGGGGATATACATGCTTAATATTGGAGAGGCAGAGTCCGATAATGTTAAAGACTCCTATTAGCCGTGAAGCTTTTTACAGTGCGAAATTACCTCTGCGGGGAATTCTGCTGAGGAGAGCGCGTTGTTCTGAGACCGACGTTATTAAAATAATTTAATACAAACATTACTTTCTGTCGACGTTAGAGGAGCGCTGTACGTTCGGTTTGGAATTCTCTCCCGCTGCTGACACCTATTGGAGTCAAAAGGAATTTCATAACGACAGGTGACTCCTTTTGGGGGGGAAGGGGCTTAAGTTAGCAGCTGCAATAAACAGTACTGGATGTTCACCACAAATGCTGAGAACCATGTGAGGATCAGCAGGGATGAGTTCATATTTGGTCATCCTAGTTCCTGTTAAAAGGAAATGTGTGTTTGGCTGCATACCAAGCAGCGCTTTGCAAACAACATGAACTTTCCCGATACCTAAAACAAGATGGCTTAACTTAAATTATACCGTGAATCCTCGGCTACTCCTTTCCGGGGGGGGGGTTTCACACGTGTTGGTGAACTGGGCGGTGTCGTGTGCGCGCAGGGGGGTCAGCGCACTGGGCGCTCGTCGTGTGCGCGCAGCTCGACTGCAGCTTCCCGCTTACAGACCTGCTCCGTGCACGTGAGCTCGCCGGGGCTCGTGGGTGCGACACCGCGGCGCTCGTGTAGCCGTGTCTTAGAATAGCTCGACCGTCATTATAAAAGAGCCCCAGGTGGGTACTGTTGAATAGAAAGTTTGTGGAAGAAATATGGATCCCTACATTTGTCTTTACGGTTAATGTTTAATGTGTTTAATACGGTTAATATTTCAGACCTCTTTCAGTCACGCTACCGTTACAGTTGTGTTAAAACCCAAATGGTATCTCTGTGGGTGCTGGGTATGTCCGTAGCTTTGCAATCTAACGAGAATCGGGGACTGGGATATTTTAAAAGATCCTGTTGGTGACCTTTTACTACGTATCGTTTCCTATGGAAGTTGTAATCATGTATGTTGTTTAAATAGAAATATATTAAACAGTGCTAAATGTTACAATGCAATATCAAATAAACAGGGTTGTCACCTCTCACGTGTCTGGCGTGACACCCGCTTCAAAACTCTTACAGCAAATCTATATTATTCCATTATAGACCTAAAATTAGCAACATAAAAATCGTTGGGGTTTGCAAATCCTACAGACTATATTTACAAGGTAATTAAACTCCTACATGCAGACTGTCTGGAATTAAAAATCTCACATCAGCCAGCTGACCGACGTTGGCAACCCTGCTCAACTTTTTGGCCATGACGCAGTTTCACCGTAAAAATGTGCTCCTTCTTTAATTATACTCTAACTAAGAATTATCGGTATTAAATAGTGCACGAAGCGAACCAGAAACGGCTGAATCAGCAGAAGGAAGGTGGGGAGGCCCACGTGATGGGCGACCAACCGCGCGCCTTCGGGATGGCCTGAGGATACTCGTGCAGCTGCCTCTACGGCAGGCCCGTGACGTCACGCGCCAAGGGCCCGACCTGAGGCCGACAGAAGTAACGCGGCTTCTGTTGGTTGCCCTGTCGGTGCTGAATTTAAAATGACATTATAATTTGCAGCACTTAACTTTATTACAATTGCAAACATTTAAATGCTTTTTTCTTTAAGGTAAACAAGCAAAGTCTGCACTCTAAACCTTAGATCATAACCATCTCAGTGAAATAAATTCTCCACAGATGATACTCAGATTCAAAGCTGAAGTCGTAATTGGATGAATCATATAAATACAAATGGTGCTTACTCTGTCTCTTTTTAATTGGCAAGTTAAAATGTTAGAAGTACAAAAGCGTTGAGATTTTTTTCAAAAAAAGCTTAATATTAAATTTATGTTGGTAGCCTTGTGTCAATACCGATTTGTGTTTTTCTAATGTAAAATGTAACATTTCTGATGCTCACAAAAATGAATACCACAGCATTTTCTAATTAAGGAAGTAATCTGTATACCAGAATTCACCGGTACATTTTTCATGAATTGTTCATCATGTCAGTTATTTTTTTTCATGGCAGAGTTTACACATCCCCCCCTGCATCCTGATTATTACTGATGGTCCTTCTGAGTCCTTATAGAAGGAAAGGCCCCAATGGTTCTGCAGATGACAAGGAACTTTCCTGAGACACGCTTATTCATTTAACTCACATTCTCAAGTGATTAGAAGAAGAGTTTCTACAATGTTCTACAGATATTTGATAATATTAATAAAAAGTATAACAATTGTTTGTCATAAAAATGACTGGTAAGTTTAAAATTTCAAGGCTGCTTTTTATTTGGAAAATCATCATTAAAAATGCTGTGTTCTTGTAATAATGGCTGTTTTTTACCTCACTAACACTGTTACTTTGTGTATAATGAAATTTTGTTTCTACAAATTGGGGCATAATTATGAATTGATGTCTCTTCATTTTGATCTGTTTGAACTTGCAAATACAAAACAAACATATTCATTGTCAAAGTCCACACTACTTTCTTTAGTGAATGCATTAATATTTGAAAGTGTAGTGTGCTGTATATGCAGTGATACTTAAAGTAATGCAGTATTTAATTGTGATTGTTGAACATTTCCATAAAAGAAGAAATTCTTGGTTAAATAAGTGGAAAAAAATTCAAAAATATTGCAAAAAAATGCATATTTTGGCTTAATTTTATTATTCTGTGATAATAGAAGATTGGTTTTCTCTGTGTTTTCTCTGTGCTTCTATACTTTCCTTCTTTACTGAGTTTGTAGAGCTGTGCCCTAAAGACGTGACCCTGCAGTCGGCTCCGTTTTTGAACCATAAAGAAATAGTTAAAAGCGGAGAGGCTGGAAAATCGTCTTTCTCCAAGTGAGTAACCCCTGGTGGTTGCTTCTCCGAGCCGAAATGAAAGCCCTGCTAATTAGAAATGTTAAAAATAGTTATGTAGTGTGGTGGATACAAGCCTTGGAGAGGGATGCAACCGAGGCTGACACAGTTTGCTCTCATGTGACCAGCCACGTTGCATCTGGCGCCGACGGACAGTTGTGTACCTCTTTACAGCTGCAGCATGGTGCCCAGCTGTTCAATACAATTACAAAGAACCAGTGGTAGACATCCCAGGTACAGAAAGTAAATATCCAGACCAAGATCTTGTTTCAAACAGCCAGGTGAGTATAAAGAGACAGTCAAAGTACTGAACTTGTTGGTTGAAACGAAGTCCTGGTTTGGATTTTTGCTTTCTGGACCTGAAATGTCCACCTCTCCATAACATCATTGTTTCACGTTAACTGTAAGGCAGACTATTAAAGGTGCTCGCTTCTCTTTAATTTAGTTTTGAAATCTCTTATCTGACATTTTTATCTGTGCAGTGTTTTCAAAATACCTATAACCGTTACCAATTGATTCTTCATTAAATAACTAGTCCCTTTATATGTTAATCATTATTCATTCAGTAATAAACCTTCTTTTCAGTTGGTGTCTGGGTCCCAATCCAGTCCAAGCCTGGATCCTGGATCCAGCCTGGGTCTCCTATAGAACCAGTTACCCTCCTCCAATCATCCTCACCTGTTTCAGTCCACCTGCGCTGCACTTCCTGTTTAAGCAGGTAAATACCGGTTGTTTATCTGTTCATTGTGAGGTGTTGTGGGTTCTGCTTTGTATTGAGCGGCTCTCCTCATTGTTACTATGGATAATTTATCCTCCATTCACTGATCTACTGCCTGTAACTCATTACCTGTCTTTTTGGCTACGAGTATGGATTACTAAATAATAAAAAAGCATTTGGACCTCCAATTGATTTATATCTAGTATACCATTGGCCATGGCAACCCATCCAGGGTGACCCCAGCCTTGTCCTCTCTGCTGCCTGGGATAGGCTGCAGACCCCCCATGACCCTGCCCTGGATGACCAATTAGAAGATGGCAGAACAGACCGCCATTTCATTAGAAACTTTGAAGAAATTATGTCAGCTGATTATTAGTCAATAATTACATTTGCAATTAATTTTTAATTTTTTAAAAAAATGTATACTAATGGTGTAATGGTTCTGAGACTGAAACCACGAAACAAACATTCTAACTCTGGAAGACTGAATACCCCCCCAACATCAGCAGCTGTCACAGCTGCAGGTGTAGCCTGTTGGGCTAATGTTACAAAATTAAATTTTATTATTATTATTATTATTTATTATTATATTTAAAGTTATGGCAAACTGTATATTTTGTAAATATTACCCATTATGCCTATTGCATTGTATTCTAACTGTGTGTGTCACGTGACTGTTTTGGTCCAGTCGTGACTGAGTGATCATGCGGTAAAAGTATGGCTAGTTTTGTTAGCTCAAGATAATTTTTTTCTTATTCACCCCCCGCACTTCCCCCCACCACCACCAAAAAAAAAACTGAACCACGACTCAATATTGAGATCTGGACCGAAATGCGGAACCATTACACCACTAATGTGCATGGAGATGCTTTGGGTTGTTTGTCCCTGGTCTGCTGTTCAGATCTTCTGCATCATTTATTCATCAGATGCTTTTGTCCAAAGTGACGTACAAGCAAAGCAGATCATACATCACATGCATATCAACTCTAAAAATAAATCTTTGTGTGTCTTTAGATGGGAGTAAATGCATGTTTTCATGTGTCTACTCAGAATAGTGCTGGCTGAATTAGTGCTTGGGCCACACAGCGTCTCACTAATGAATGTCCAAGATCAATGAGAGTGATTTTACAACCAGACTTCCTAATTGGACTGGAAGTTTGTTCCTTATATGAGCCTCCTTTCATTACAACGTTTCATTATTCCCTCCCAGGCAAAAGAGCACCCCCCCCCACCCCCCCCGGACCAGTGGAAGTAAAATGGCAGAAGGTGTCAAATGCCCCCGGTACCCAAATAGTATAAGCGTAATTTTGAACCCTCCTCAGTATTTGCGTCGCCCCACAGTTGGCAAAGCCGACCGAGGGGACCCTCCCCTTAAATAAGTGTAACTTAACGTAATGGGAGGACTGGAGGGAAACAGAGCTTAAAGGGTCAATGTGGGCTGGTGCCGGTCGGCTCTGCTTCACTGTCCCCAGAGCAGGGAAATGTGTTGCCAGTCAGTAGTGAGTAATGGAGTTGGCGGGGCCCCCAGCGTGACGGGCGCTCTGTGCCCAGGGTCCACCCCGGCATCTGCACCGGATAAATGCACTCCAGTGGGGCGTGCCCGATCTCCCTGGCCTCATCCAGAGGAGCCGTGCCAGCAGCGGGCACACAGGGCACATCGCGTAGCTGCCCGTGCTGGTCATTTCAGCGGCACCTCGCTCTCAGCCAGCAAGAGTGCATTCCCTCTTTGTTTATTTAGTATTTTCCTTCCTTCTGAGAAGTCAGACGGACAAATGAGAGGTCATTAAATGCTGGGCTTCTTTCTCCGCGGCTCTCCTGCTATGGCACGGAGCCCCGGGTGGCATCATTCTCTCCTTGTGCCCCGCTGTGACTGTCGAGGCCGAGCTCCCACGGGCCGCGCCGGCGAGGGATGCCGCGTGCCAGCTAAACCTGAATGGAAGGTGGTACCTCAGATGGTTTTATTAGACGGTCTTGGATCGGTGATTGCAGAGACGTGTCCTCCACACTTCTGTTTCTCCTTTGGAAGCACCGTCTGACTTTGATCTTGGTGGCGGACGAGGCCTTTGGAGGGCAGAGGTGACTGGGACGCATTATAGGTCTCCATACCTTTACTTGGAGAGCCTGTTACAATTTCCGGCTCCTGATTCATGGAGTGGCACCGATACAAGTTTTGCATGATTTTATTTTTGCTTGAAAATGTCTTTATAAAAAGGTTCCACTGCCGGTAAATGGCTTAATATAGCAATGGACGCAAAGACCATATTAATGTACATCACCTCTGTACAGGCGATCCTTAAATCCAGCATGTTCTTTGAAGGTATGTTATTGCAACAATTCACCTTGCTGAAAGGTACAAGAGCAAGCTGTCAAATGTGCAGCCTTTTTAATCAAGCCAGTTACTGATCTACACTTGATCACAATCCTAAGTCCAGTTGTATTCTGTGTGTGTTTTTTTTTATCAAAACATGCACAGAAATCACAGAACTCGCCTCCATTATTTTATCACTGTAAGGGAACCGCTGCAGCGTACAGCCAGAAACACTTTCAGCCTGGATGTTATCTGTCCGTGCCGAACACCTTATGCGTTTGCCGATTTCAGCAACTTTCTTAGTTTCGGATTTAATTCTCCACATACATGCTGGCTTTTTTCCCAGATAACTTTTAATGAATTTTGAGCTTTAGTCGGGTACCTTTCATAAGCAGTGATAAAAAAGAATATTTTTGGCACCCCCATATATTTACAGAGATGTTACAGATAAATAATTTAGTGTGTGAGTCGTTTCTTGGTCTGTGGCCAGTATTTTTGTTCTTGATTATTTTTTTTGTTGTTCTTTGATGAGGGGGAAAAAAATGTTCACCGCATTGAGGTTGCCGGCAGCGAATCAAACGTTTTTGGCTGTGGGACGAGGTTGGCGACATCACAGCCCTCACATAGAAATCGCACTTGGCCTTCATGCAGCGATGAATAACAAGTATTTTTATTTATTTTTTCAATGGTCCGTTAGAACGCTTGGAGCCTGCGAGGACCTTTGTCTGGCGAAAGGGCTCTAAACGAAATAGCAACACCGAATAGGCATCCGCTTACTTTTTTTTGTTCAGTTCGACCTCGACTCTGGCATTTCCAGCAGTCGCACCCATGGCCTTTACGGCGTGTAACATTTTTGCCTGTGCTGGGCGTGCTTCGTTTGGCACCGCAGCGGTTTGAATGGAGAATGCCTGGTAGCTGGCCTCCCGCTCAACCTCCTGGGGGGAGTAGAAAAGGGCCCGATCTCACGGTGCCTCCCTGGGGGGGGGCGGAGGGGGGGCTCCACGCTCCCCCCCCCCCTCCTCACTTGGAGTCTGTCCGCGTGCTCCCAGCAGCGCGACTGCAGCTACGTGCCAGCCTTGGCTAGGAGCACGTGTGGCATGGGCTGTGGTAATCATCTCCTGCAGTCTGTCTCTTCCCACAATCCCCCGGAACAATAACACAACAAGAAAAAAAAATAATAAAAGTCAATGTTGTTGTGGGATGGCCTCAGTAAGAGGTGAACTCATACCCTTCAGTTTCTCGTAGCTTTTTTGTAAAATGGACAACAGCTTCTAGATAAAGAAAGCAGATTATGAAGACTTCCTCCTAGTTAGTTGCATGACTGCATTTATCCATCCTCCATGACTGCTTATCCTGTACAGGGTCACCATCAGCATCTACTCTATCCCAGGAAGCAGGAGGCACAGCACAGGGGGACAACCAGGATGTCATACCCACCTACTGCAGGGGCTGTTCGCTGTTTAGAGACACCAAATCTCCTAACCGCTTGTTTTTTTTGTTTTTTTTTTACTCTTGGGGAAACTGGAGCACCTGGAGGAAATGTGCTTAGAGAACTCACAAATCCACAGACGCAAAGCGGAGACAAGGAACTGAACCCACAACCCTTGGACATGCCCGAGCAGAATCCATCGATACATCAGAATATTGCTTTTCTGCCTTCACTTGTTTGTTATGTAAATTGCCGTTTGTTCCTTTGTCCTACTGTGATGTCACATGCACGCTGCTGCCAAGCTTAAAAGCTACAGTCATTCCAGTCGGTGGTCTTTGACGGGTATTCTGTAACACTAGTCGTACCACGGAGTGAAAGGGGAATCCGGAAGGCATCGTGACTCGTGTTTCATCCCTTCGGAGAGTCCGGTTAAATGAACCGTGTCTGTGTAAGAGTGTCGGATGGTGAGTGCGGGGAGGGGACGCAGGTGGCCATGGGAATGGGGAGTCTTTGTCGTTTCTACAGTTAAAGCCTGTTCCCTGTTTGCCCAGCTGGCTTTGGCCAAGGTGTGACTTGGTTATGTGTGTGTTAATAGGTAACATGCATCCATACACGAGTGTGTGTGTTTCTGACCCTCATCACAGAGTTGCAGCCTTGCCCCGTGATTAAGTTGGGGGTGGCGTCGCGGATTGTACTTCTTTGTCATCGGAAGGTTGCCAGTTTGAGTCCCGCCCTCGACAGAATAGTGGCATTTCTGTTGGGCCCCTGAGCATGGCCCTAACCCTCCTGAAATGCTCCTGGGATGCCAGACAAATGGCCCGCCTCTGTGCTTGGACCCTAAGCTTCACTCTCAGTGTGTGTGTGTGTGTGTGTGTGTGTGTGTCAAAGGAGAACAAGATGGGATATGCAAAAAGAAGCATTCCAGTGTATCTGTACTTGAGCAAATAAAGCATCATTTCACCATGTTATTCACTAGGAATGCTTACCTTAAAGGCACATCTTGCCAATCAGCTCAGCTTTGCTGCTGATTATTGGTGAGTGCCTTTCCGCCTCCTCTCCGCGGAATCTGTAGCAGTATGGGAGTTACTACCGCTAACTGTCCAGGGCAATAATTTCTGCCACTGTTAGTCTGACGCCTGGGTATCTGATTGCGGCCATAAGCGGGAGGGTACCAGCTCTCGCGTGAAATGCACACCTTTCCCCGCCCCCTCCCATCACTCGGACCGACACGCTGGCTGTGTGCGTCTCTCCGTTTACTGTCCCAGGGCACGGATCTCCTTTTCGGCTGTGGCTGTCACTCGCTTTTGCTGCAAACACCGCAGACATTAACTGACAGCCTATACCCAACAGAGGAAATGGAATAGAGCAGCAATTTTAAAAGGTTAATTAAAATTGGTGTACCATATTGACGCCATGCAAGTTAAAAGGTGAAAGTTAAGAAAAGCAGAAGGAAATTATAATGAAAACGGTCCCTCAACTGAATTCCCTTAATCACTGAACGTTCCTTTTCTATTAATTGAAGATAATTATAGGGCTTTAATTTTCTAATGTAGGTTGCATGAAAAAAAATCATTACCAATGCCTTGGGTTATGGAGTGATGCAAATTAAGACTTAGATATGAGTTTATATCTTAGTCAAACTGGTTGGATGAGGAGCAGGCATTCAGGGTGGTTGAAGATCCAATGTAACATTCTGCCTGCTGGAAAATAAAACAGAATAAGCCATTCTGCAACTGAATAACGATTATAGCCTAAAATTGTGTCCGTTTTACAAATTGAATGGCGCCAGCAAAATACATTTGTTGTCATTTATTTATTTATTTATTTTCTCCAAGATTAATTACTTGTTAATTGTCTGAACATGCTGTTGGTATTCATGCTCCATTAGCCATTAACTTCTGAATTGACTTGCTGGAGGTGGCCAGTAGGGGTCAGTAGCATAGGCCGAACACCTCATTTACCAGAGAACTGACAACAGTGGACAGAGCGCCTAACTATGTTGACAGAGGATATGGAAAAGTACGAGACCATAAGGCTAACAAGGCAAAACATTAATTTTTCTGTTACAAGCACCCAAGAAAACGCCCTAATAACACCTTATTTGATTTTCACCTGTCTCTCATAGCTCATGCTTGCTAACAATGGAAACGGATGGTTGTTTTACTTTATCTTGGGCTGGACTTGTGCCGTAATTTCTTTTCGGACACTTGCATGTTTACCGAACCCTTTGTATTCTGTTTAACATGATTATTTCTGTGCCCCCCCCCCCCTCCTTGTAGTTCACTGAAATTTTATTTAGATTTTCCTTTTTAACAATCTCTTTTCATCCATGTCTATAACTGTGGGCATATTGAATTAGTTCTGCCTTGTGGATAATTTTGTACGACAGTGTGCCAAATTATCCCTCTTTACCCTTTGTAGGTTCCGGAGCCCCTCCCCTGGCCCCAGTACACACAGAGGGAGGGGGACAGTAATTATTCTGGTAAAAAACTCTGTTGTGACTGAATAGGCTTTGAGCACCGTCGGCTGCGACATGGAGGAACCCCCCCCCCCCCCCCCATCTTGCTGCCCCTGCCGCCAACTCTGTTATGGCTTCAAACCTGCTGGGACATCCTGCTCTTTTCCTGGGACTCTGGAGAGAAGTCTCGTCCACTGAACTTATCAGTCGATAACCAAGACAGATGGGCGTCTTTTACCTGTGACATTTATATCTGAGGAGCACTGTTTCTGGGACATTTTCTGACGGTCTGCAATGAATGTTCTCACAGCTAAAACAACAGGAAATAAAACTTTGGCATTTTGCTTCTAGGGAAAATAAAAGAACTGCAGTCAGTTGCAGCATAGTAAAAGCCATTCTGAAGATCAATTAACAGCCAATTAAGGCGAGGAATTTAGTTTTAATGTGGAGCGCTCTCTATTTTCAATGATTTTCACATTTTTAATTCAGCCTCTTCGTTGATGTCCATTCCGAAGCATATTTTGCAGCATATAAATGTAGCAGAAGGTAATGCCTGATCTTCTCCATGACCTGATTGATGTCATACTCAAAGTAGGAAAAGCTGGGAGTATTAGCCTGGTGTTGCTACAGCAGACGGGATAATTAGGTCATGGTTCGGTTGCAGTGTCGTACCATTTAATCACGCGCTCAGAAGCAATTTCACTGAGCAGCATGGCATTTTCAACATGACCGGGCTCCATCGGAGGCCGCCGTCCACAGACGGGCCCCCTCACGCACCGATTGAGTCCGGCCTGCTTGCCTCGAAGGCACACCTGGTATTGCTGGTCGTCCGCCTCAGGCTGTGTCCCACCCTCCCCTCCTGGTCTGATGAAAAGTAGTTTAGGAAACACTAGTGGGAAACTTAACTTTTACAAAGTAGCATCATCAGATTTTATTACATAGCAAGATTTTTTTTTTTTTGGGTTGGTTGGTTGGTTGGTTCTATCTATCCATTTTCTATACCCGCTTGTCCCATGCAGAGATGTGGAGCCTATCTCAGAAGCAAGGCACCAACCCATCACAGGGTACATTTGCAGAATTCGGCAACAGTGGTTCACCTTAGTACCAGAGAACCTGCTGGAAAGCCAACATGGAGAGTGCATGCAAACTCCATACATGTAGTGGCACATATTCAAGCCTGGGCCCCCAAGGTGGAAGGAAGCAGCGCTAACCACTGCACCACCACTGGATGGATAAAACTGCATCCCCCCCCCCCCCCCCCCCCCCCCCCCCCCCCAAACACATTTGCCTGCAAGATGGTGGCCACTCATCCAGTTCCTTCAGCACCACTCTGCCAGTTTCCCAAGCAGCATCCTGATAAGACTGTTCGCAGTTCCTGGGAGGTGGTGTTTGGATCCCGGGGGCGGGGTTTACCTCGCTGAGTTTACCTCATCCTCCCAGCTGCTCTGCCATTTGTCGAAAGTTGCCCAAACCAAGCTAGGTTATAGGCCTATATCGGACTCATGCAGAGCGCTGAGATAAACCGCGAGACGGAAGCAGTGTGTATGGGACAAGCATTGGCGGGAAGCGGCTAATCCGCGTTCGCCCACCACCGGGTGCCTCCATCTGTCTGCTGCTTCCATTCTCTTTCCACTTTTACCTTGACCCTTGACCCCGCTGGTTGGCCCACTTCCACCGGCTCGTGCTTTAAATGCGGCAGCGTCACCCACGTGCTCCCCGCTACCGGCGAGTCGTCCCACCCGGATTCTGTCCGGGACAAGTGAGCCTGTCGGAGAGAGCTTTATCTCGCCGCTTCTAATTGAACGGCAGCATGAAGAGAGAGAGAGAACCCTCGCCGACGGCCGTATCGCGAGGAGACGGGAAAATCAAATTAAAGACCTTCACCTTGGCGTGCTGTTGCCGGGATAATGGAGTGTGCGTGCGCTCGCTCGGAGCGGATGTGCAGATCAGAGCTGTGTAAAGAGCAATATCCACATTGTATTGTGGAAACTCCATGGAGTCTATGAAGGCCGCCCAAAGCTGCGGACGCGAGAGCACAACGCCGTAATTAGACTCCAGTGGCACAAATGTGCTCGGCATGAAGAATAAGCAGGAATGGCAATGGGGGGCCAGGGGGGAGGACAGACATTAGTGGTCCAAACCAATAGGCGAATTTTGAACAAATAGCAACATCCTTTTGCCATAAATGTGTACATATATACCTAATGTGTAACATTGTTTTTATTTAGGAACCTGATTTGACGAGGTATTTAAGCTTGCACATCTAGTTGGACTTGTACAGACTGCACATTTTGTTAATTCCAATTAACTGACTGTGGTCTGTACTGATTGCTCATATTGCTCATCCTTACATTAATTTTTTTAATCCTTCCTAATTTGTTGTTTGTGAATGTATGTACTTACACTGCCAAGACAAATTCCTAGTGCATGTACTGTAGTTGTACCTGGCCAGTAAAAGCACTTCTGATTCTGATCACCTTCCTCAAGTCCATGGTCAGCAGGCCTTTGCTGGACTACCTGGCTCTTTTCGTGGTCGTGGTGCTTGTGTGGGTTGGGAGAGGGAGGGGTTCCCACTAGCGATGGAGAGCTCCGTGAGAGAGAGAGCAGGGGATGCTGGGTATTAAATCACGGCGTCCACTGCATTGTTAAGCCGGTATGCAGCGAGACCCAGGCCGGCCCCCTTTGGAAGAAGGCCCCATGTAATTTTTTTGCTGAATAGGCATATCATGAATTTAACTGGGAAAGCTTCTGTGATGCAGGGGGCTCCAGCACAGTGCTTCATCAAAGTCAGTGCGCTATATTAAACAGATCTGCACGGCCTTATGAAAAATATGTCGGGGCAGGGAGGGAATTCTTAGATGGAAAATAAAATTAGCAGCCAAGCTAAGAGATTTTTACTTTTATTTTTTTGCAGTATAAGTTTTTCTTACAGGAGGGTCTTGCACATCATGGTGGGGGGGGGGGCTTACACCACTGTAGCTCAGTTGGAGGCACTAACTAAGCATTAGGGTTGCCATGGTCGGCCATGTGGCCCAAAGGCGGAGCAGTTGAGCACATGTCCAGCATAGCATGTGTGCTAAGAGAAGGTTAGCGAGCGCGAGGAAGGACAGGCCCCTCCAGATGGGTGCAACATGTGCCGAGTGACATCACCACAGCGGATTTGATGGGGGGGGGGGGGGTGGCGGCTTCCTGTGGGTCACGGGGCATCCGTAAAAAGCATTATCGCCTCATAATGCGGTAAGCCTCGAAGCGGGACCACTTGCCGTAAAGCGTCACTAACGCATTGCGGGAGGACTCGTTAATCTGTCGCGAGGGGGGGTCACAATGAAGGAGTATCTTTATCATGTGTGTGGGGGGGTGTTGAAGCGCTGTAATCGTGTTGCTGAGATGCTGTTGCCCGTTTGTGTTTCAGCGGCCGGGCCATGGCTCGATAGCCCGTTCCTGGGGCACGGCAGACGGCTATCTATGCCGAGTTGCTAGGGAAACACCTCGGTTGCCGCCGGAGACGGCCACTCACGCTCTCTCATCCGCAAGCCCCCATGCTTCAATTAAGCGTGCCGCTGTTGGCAATTAGACCCGAAGTGTGGAGTTCAGAGAAGGCCAGGTTTTAATCTAGTCCCCAATTAAGTCATGTCAAACAGTCATGTTGTTAAAAAATGCTGAGCTGTGTGTGGTGAGGTAAAGAGTGGGACAAATGTGCTGGGGGGAGCCAGGGGGGGTCACAGGGACCATGGCAGAAAGATCTTCTAGAGCAGGGGTCTCCAACTCCGGTCCTGGAGAGCTACTATCCAGTAGGTTTTCTATCCTACTTGGCTTCTGACGAGCCACAGCTGCTCCTGGTATTTACCTGAGAACAGGTGTGGCTCATCAGAAGCCAGGTATGATAGAAAACCTACTGGACGGTAGCTCTCCAGGACCGGAGTTGGAGACCCCTGTTCTAGAGGAACTGGATGCACCCACCACACCCTCCTGCTCATCAGGAGCAGGCACCTGTGAGGACTGCTCTATATTTCACATGTGATGCATGATGGGTAAACAGCCCTACTTGTGTTATTAACCAAAGTACATACAATGCCCCTCCCATAGTGACAGAAATATATTCCGGCAAAAGGGAGGCAGTCTGTCACAGAATGTTATTACTGAAATGGCACAGATAATGATTCTGGTAGACTCTTCTACCAAGCTATTTATGTTGGAGGAGACTGACTTGCATATTGAATTTAATCAAATATGTGTAAGCGCTACATTAAAATCAATAGAGCCATTTAAACAGCATTATCATTAAAGGCGTTTGTGTGGAAAGTCCCCAACAGCGTTCAAGATGATCTTCTGCCGCGCCTGTGGCTTAAACTAACATCATTTACCGCACCGTCACCCCCCGCCTGGAAGGTATTACCTCACCGGCCTATCCCCCCCTGGCATACAGTACATCTACACACACACCTGAGTGTGCACCATCAGAGAATTTCCAAAGTGCACCAGACTGGCAGAGAAGATCCCACCTTCCCAAATTTTTTCCAAACCACTTTGTAGCAGGAAGCAGGTGTTTTTTTTCACTTTTCTTGCTGCAGTGATGGTGATTAGGGTCGAGAGATGTTGGAAATGGATTTCGGCTTACGAGAATAATTAGCCACCTTTGCCACACAGCCACCCGATCTGTGCTGCCGGATCGCCTTACATCATTACGTCCGCGCTTCCACTGTAAGCCTTGTTATCAGGGAGGCGAAACGCAGACGGCATCACCTCTTTGGTGGAAGACGCAACGGGGCCACTGCTCTGTGTGACATCTTACTGGTAAACATCCGAAAATCTCATCTCCCCCAGTAAAGGTCCTCTATGTGCTGGAAACATCAGCTTTAGTTAGCTCAGCCTACACTGTCTTGGTTCCCAAGGCATGCAGGGTAATCAGGTCTGTCGTGTTCCTGTTGCT